GGTTGAGGTCGTGTCGTCAACATTACCGACTTGTATGGGGGCCGTTGGGTGCCGGGGCCCCACCCTTTGGCTTGCTTCCCCCCACCCCCCCCCCCCCTTCTTGTTTGTTTGTATCCCAAAATTGATGGATTTTGTGTAAGTTAATTTGCATGCGTTTTCGTGAACATGGAGGATTATTTACACGTAACTGCAAAAAAGTTGCCATATAACACAAACAAACAAATAGAGCCTTAACTTGATTTAACCAGTTCATAATTTTCACCAATTCATCAGATCCCTTTGAGAATTGCTATAAAATACTTGGAATTAGCAAAAAGAAGCAAAGTCATTCGGTTCATTCAGTTTCTTGCTTGATTAACCAGGGTTGCGTATTTCATCTTGTTCAATGTGAAGTTCAAAGGATAGACTAACGATGGCAACACAATAATTCTGAGCGAGGATTCTGGCCTGATCGATGTTGTGATTTGAACGAGCGATATGAATCTCTAGACAGCCTCCTAGACGTACCAATTGATGGAGTGGATATTCCGTTATTTTTTTTCAACTCTCTTGATATTTTTGCCGAAAGCATATTAGTTTCGTTGAGCTTGTAACAGTTATGAAAATAAACGCCTCCTGTCTATTAAACGCCCCCGTTTGGACCCCTAAAACTAAATAGACGCCCCGGGCGTTATTAGGTCATTTACAGTACTTGATTTCTTTCTCATGTGTACATGTCAATCTGGTTTGGGGATTTCCGTCTTGCAGACTGCGGTGATCAGTGACGAAAAAGCAGAGGAGTTTAAACACAAAGTTTACCGCGGTACCTTTTTAACGCAAGTCGCTGAGTATTTCCTGATAGCCTTGGGATCGCTGTGCATTGTTGTAGCCATTGTGTTGGTTGTGATTTCTTTACCATCCAAAAAGTACTTAGGGCTGTCTATTCAGGTGAGTAGAAATCGTTGTTGTTTAATATTGTTCCTGTCTTGAGCGAGCAATTCCCATACTAGGCCTATGTCAAGGCGTTTTCACGGACCGGTTTATTTTTAGCTCACTTTTTCCCTTGAAAGTGGAATCCCCGCTATCCTTGTATCTGCGCATTTTGTCGTATAAACATCAAAAGGAGAACCTTAATGGCATTAAAAGGGCACAAGATATCAGTTTTAGGTCTGCAGGTTTTGATGATTGGTTTGTAGGGCTCGAAAGATATTCTAAATTCGCGCCAAAACCGTTCTAAGAAGACAGCTGTCGGTGAAAACGCCGCGACACGAGTACACGTATGGAAGTCGCTCGCTCCGGGTCATGGGCTCCTGCTTGACCGAAATCATTTGGAAATGAAGGGAATTATGCTCTCCCCCCCCCTCCCCCACACCCCGCCAAGTAGCCTGTGAGCGATGAGGATCGTGGTCCCTAATCCGTTGGCATCTACGGCCCATTTCTCTCACATTTTCTTCAGAATTTTGTATCAAGTCTTACAGAGTACAATTTTTCGTTTTAGGCTGGTGACAGTGAAAAAAGGACACTAATTACTCAAGGAGGGTACGTGTTTACTAAAAAAACGTTAACTTAAAAAAAAAAAAA